AAACATAATACTGTTAAGTGAATCTAGCGCCAGAGTGTCGCTATGGTAAACAAATACTAGAGTGAATTTTAAAGAATGCGTTTATTCTATTGTGGTTTATGCGCTGTCGGCGAAGTAGATTTAATTCAATCCAATAAGTTTAAATGAAATGCAAGAAAAAATGCGTATAATTTAATATTCCGTACAAGGAAGTCATGTGATGTACACATCAGATTTTTTTTTCATATAACGGCAAATTAAAAACAAAGAGAGTGGAGAAAATATTTAAAATCAACTCCGCATATTATCAAAAACACATCTTATACCCAATTTTCAAATAGGAAATACCTTCTCTTTACACACAGTGCGATCAATCAGTAGAACAGTATCAATACAAAGCAAGGATCCACAAACACGTCCAAATCAACCTTTAATTTCTCGATTAAAACGAAACGAGAAACAGGTACCAAAGCTATGTGTTTCACTCATATCCCGACTAAATCTCCTGTTCTATCCCCAATGTATTTTGGCGCTCTTGGACTTTTAAAAAGCGGGTTGTCGAAACGTCGATCCATAACCTCCTCAGACTTCGGAAAGCTCGAGATGAATGGGATAAAATACCTCTTCCGATACTACAAAAGGATTTTTATCTTAGAAATTATAGCGTATGAAGATAGTGAAGAATAATGGTTATCAAATAGGACATTTAAAACATAAAAATTTTAGGTAAAATATTTCTGTAATTACAATGGAAATCGTCTACGAAATGTGTGAACAGCTGCTGTATTATTATAACGGTCATTAAAGTTCATCATATAACATAGCCTTAACTTGTTAATTAACAGGTGTGGAAAAAATCATTTCGGAAGAAGATTGATCCAGTTTAACTCGTTTGCCTAAAACAAATTTGCAGTATGGACCATGAAAAAGAATATCTTCTTTTGGAACGAATACCATTGCATTACTTTTGCCATTGGCAAACTGAAAACATAATTAATTAAAGAATATTTCGACAACGAATGTTTTTCATATGCTGGAGTTTTCTCATTTTGTCTACTTGGCTGGCCTTTATGAGCGTTTGCGTGCATTTTCGGTTTAGGTAACAGAATATGTACTTCCTATACGAATTTTTTGTGACTTTTCACGCAAGATTTATTTTTCGAGAAAGACATCTATTTTTATTTAAAAAATTATAAATTTTAAACAAATAGAAGACAGCCAAATGCCTTTTCAAGAGGTCCTGACGATTGCATAGTAGGTTTGGGATAAATTTTACATTGTCTTATCCGAATATGAGTGCGTCTCAGCAGATACGGATAATTGGCATTACGTAGTGATAATTTTTATGCATTCTAAGAGAATTTGGTGAAAATTTGTTAAAGTAACTAAAAAATATGTAATGTATGCATGTTCTGTACTTGCTATTCTTCGCGCAATTCTTACTTCAAGTTAAACTAGCAAATAGTATTGTCTATTAGTTAAATAACTACACTTTAAACTACAGCAGCGGTTCTCAACCTTTTGACTAACACGTACCATCTAAATAAAAATTATGTATTGTGAATACGGCAAAGCACACTAGGGCTATCTGCCTAAGCGGAAGGATGCCTTCGTGGAGGACTTTCTAAGAGAAACTGGCTCGTATACACCTTACACATGAGGAAAACTACGAAAACGCCCATGCAGACAGCCCGTTCGCGGGATTCGAACCTCGGACTGAACTACCAGTGTTCAGTGATTTTACCTCTCGGCCACTGGTGGACAAATAAAAATTGAAAGCCTTTAGTACCACCACTACAAAGGACTACTACCACCACCACTCTTGAACAAAGCTCAGATCGCATAAATTTACGATTGTTAGAGAAAAAAATCTCAATTACGATGTTGGGGTTTTAATTTTTGAATTCAATAGTTAAGAATACTTTGCTTCTTTACGCACCACCTATTTTTTTCTTGCGTACCACCGGTTGAGAACCCCTGAACTACAGTATTTGTCTACTTGCATTTAGATTTTTAGCTTTGTTCCCATTTATCTCACTTGTCTGACAGCAACATCGGATAAAATCTATAAATTTTATTTCCGGAAAGAGCCCAAAATTTCGTTTCCCTTGGCGTACACCTTGGGAATCTTATAAGCAACAGTAGGACTTTGCCCAATTCCGTCTTAATTTCGAAGGAAAATCCCTCGGTGGAAGGGTCCACTCGAAAGGACTTTTGGCTTAGTGTGCATTTTAAATGCCTCCATGCCGCAAAGACACTGTACACTTTCAACCATTCTAGTCTCTGGGATTTGAACCCGGGGCCCCAACAAGCCAATTAGCAACGCTAGATTTTAGCTCTAAAGCGTTCTTTTATAAAAGTGTTTAAAATATATACAGTTATTCAGATTTTTATGTTTCTTTATTCCGTCTCGGATAATTTTTTTTCCCATGAATCATCTTTCTTCCTTTCTTCATCGTCTGCTGGAACTGATCGGCAGTTCTTTAAACTTCCTTAGAGTAGTGTATATGTTACCGTGAAAGACCGAAATTGGAGAATGTTGACTTTCACCGGAAAATATCAACATTCACCAAATTCGTCGGTGAAAGATCGAATATTGTACTACATTCTTGTATATTCGGACCCTCACCGGTGTATGTCGACAATCACAGATATGCTCTGGTGAAAGTCGAAAAGAGAGGTCATAAAGTGCCATAATAGTTTAAGTTGTTGCAATAAATAAGATTTGAATCACATAATTTAGTAAGTTTTTTATTACTGTTATTTTATTTTCTCATTTAGAACGTACTGTATAATTAAGTAAGCTTTTAACTTCTATTATTTTCCTTTCTTATTCCTTCTATTATTTTCCTTTCTTCTATTATTTTCCTTTCTTTTTGAATGTATTGTGTGTTTTAGGTTCTCATGTTCTTAAGTTCTTATTTCAAGTTTCAAGTACGTTTATTCGCGACTGTGGTGTGGTGTGGTGTGGTGTATTTAATTATGGCAAAGCACACTAGGGCTATCTGCCTAAGAGGAGGGATGCCTTCGTGGAGGACTTTCTAAGGGAAACTGGCTCGTATACACGTTACACATGGGGAAAACCACGAAAACACCCATGCAGCCAGCCCGTTCGCGGGATTCGAACCTCGGACCGAACTACCAGTGTTCAGCGACTTTACCGCTCGGCCGCTGGTGGGCTCATATTCGCGACTGAATTACGGAAAAGAAAATATTCACCATTAGTACGTGGTGAATGTCGACATTGACCGGTGTAAGTCAGAAATAAGAGTATTTGGAAAATATTTCGGGCATACACCAAAAGACTATCTGAATGTTGACATTCACCGGTGAAAGTCGACATTCTCCAGATTTCGGTGTTTCACCGTAACATATATATATTTACTTCACAAAGAAGTAAAAATGTGTGAGAAATAATTTAAGCAACTTGTAACATTTGAAAATATTTACGTAATATGAATTCAAATAACAAATATAACTCAAACATAAATAACATAAACTCGCACATAAAATCATACCAAAAATAAATTCATACATAACTAACATGTAAACTCTGCATAAAAAATGGGACAGTTCTATATCTCCCGTTCTACTGAGCCTACTGACGAAATTTAATTTGCGTTTTCATGTCTTCAAAGTGCGACTTAGGATACATATTGCATTTAGACATAGCAGTGTTCAAACATAGATATTTTGAAACAAAATCAGACTTTTTCTGAAATGACATACCGAGATTTTTCCAAATTTCGAAATTACTATTCACATTATGATTAAATTTTATAAAATTGGGTGAGAAACGTACCGAGAAATTTAAAACTTTATCTTAGCGCACATTTTTCAGTCTGTCATTTTCGATAACCTATTTTACTTTCCGTTTCGTTGTGCCCGAGCGAAAATGGCGCCTCATTCATCCTTTCAAATAATTTTAACAAAGTGGGTGTACCACATTTGGCTTTATTATCGCTTATCACAAATATGTCAAATGTCAAAACACGCCTATATATAAATTCATGTACATGCTGGAAAATTTTAAATTAAAAAAACTCTAATTTTTCTACTGGTACGCCTAGAAATACATCTACTTTAAGGTGATAGTAAGCATTTTACAGACTACAATTCAAATTTTTTTTCGAAAAATTTATAAAAAATACAAATTTTAAAAGTAAATCAAAAAAATATCTGCAAATTTTATTTGTGATGAACCTAAATTTCGAACTGTGAAAGGAATCAAGTAAAATAAAAAGAGCGATATTAATAACTATATACCAAATTCAATTAACATTGAGGTGCTAAAATTTTGAGAAAAAATTCATTAAAAACTACCCGTGTGATTTTTTACAAAACTTTGCATTTGGGTATATCTTCAGACGTAGAGTCGAACTATGAAAAAAATTGGTATGTGATTTCAGAAAAAGTCCTATTTTATGTCAAAATATTTACGTTAGAGCAATACTATAAATAACTGTAATATATATCTCAAATCACGCTTTAGAGACAAAATAAAAGCAAATTTAATTGCGACAGTCGGCCTAGTAGAACGGAAGATTTTTTAATGTACCCCATTTTTAAGGTGTCAGAGAGTGTACATTTAATATTTAGGGAAGAAAAGGGTAGGAATTCACAATAAAAATAGAGATATTCTTGGCATAGATTATCAATTTCAATTTAAAGTCGTATATGCCTTTATGATAATATTTATTAGAAAATGTTGTTGATTAAAATCAGAAAAAACGCTGCTAAAAGTAAACATATAGGTTAGGTAGAAAAATACGCTTTGGTTAAAAAGAGCCAGTGTTTAAAATGGTGGAATTCGATAATTTTGCATAAGTCGCATCTAAGGCATGAATATGAAGCAAATGAAGATGTCAAACAGACGCAGGATAGGTGCTAAAGCTGATGGATGTAGTCAGTGAGATTGCATTGTACCAATCTAAGTTTGATTTTTTTTACCAAATTTTAATTTTTGTATTTGCTTCTTTCTCTGCCAACATATAGCTATAAATCTGTCATTTTATCTTCAGGAACTGAGGGCAGTGGTACCTCTCCCGGGGTCTACTTGAGGGATGACCCAATATTCGGAGCTCAGCTTATAAACCAGAGTGAACTTAGGGCGCCTACAGTCGAGAAAGCTGCCTATCTATTGGACGCTGCCTTGGCTGCCAGAAGCAGAGGTATGATTGAAATGCATTGACATACAGATACTTATGTTTTGCAAATATATAGTATAAAACAAATAATTACTGTACAAAATATATTAGAAATAGAATAAATAAAAATTATTACATATGGTAACCGCTATTAAACAGCAGACGTTCAGAATTGTCTCTAGAAATAACTCCTAGTATAATTACGAATGATCGTTACAGCGAACATCAACATTATTATCGTCATCGTCGTGGTCATTATTATTACTATTCCGAAAGAAACTAACGAAATTGCATTGTTCTTTTATTTTTATCTTTTCTAACATCATAATGTTGTTGAGATTACAACATATCAAAATTATGTTAAAAAATCTAAGATAGAAACGTTAACACTAGTTACATTGTTCGGTATCATAGGAAAATTTGTTTTTATATAATAAGAATGGGGGAGGGGGAAATATCATTTTCACCATAATATGAGATTCAAATGGTAGTTTAACTGAGAGTATAAATGAAACCAATTCTTCAGATTCTCTTTCTCCTGAAGGAAATAATAGCAAGAATATACAGGGCCTTATCATCATCTAGGCTCCTAAGGCTTGGGACTGGAGCTCCAGATTTCGAATGCTTCCAGACTATCCTAAAACCCCCATATCCTTATTTTTCTATCATGAAAACAACACTACTCAAAGCAGTTAGGGGATATTATGATTTTGGATGTAAACTACGGATGAGAAAATGTTTTGGTGACTGATATATGATGTACACATGTTGTAAGATATGAGGAAAGAAAAAACAACGGAAAAGGAATGATTAAATTTTATTGACGATATTTGTCTGTAAACAAACTGTGCATATAATACAAGCAAACAAACAAGTGTGATGTAGAAAAGAGTTCCTTAACTGCTGAATTGTTTCTGGGGGTTATCAGCAACTAGCAGCCCTTTTCCCCAGAATGTTCCAAACATGTCCTATAGGATTCGTAGCTGGGGAACATTATGGCCAATCCATTAGAAGGATTCCTTCGTCGAAAAGGAAATTGATTGCTAGCTGATCACGATGTGGTCTAGCGTTACCAACTATGAAAAGGAATTCATCTCCGATTGCTGCAGCGTAAAGAACCACAATAAGTCTGAGGACTTCCTCTCTGTGTCGCTGAGCCCTTACTGCTCCATTCCTGATAACGTGCAGGTCGGTGCGGCCATTGATATATACACTGACTACCAATAAGTATTTGGACACCTGTGATATAAAAGAAAAACTAACTTTATTCAAAATCAATAGTTGGTAGAGCCTGCACGAGAGGTAATTACAGCGTGGACTCTCCGGGGCATACTTTCCACAAGTCTTTGTATGACAGCTAGTGGTATTTTCTTCCCCTCGGCATGGAGAAGATGTAGAAGCTCCTTCACTGATTTTGCACGGCTAGTGCACCCCTGAATTCGGCGATGCAACTCGTCCCAGAGGTTCTCGATAGGATTCAGGTCTGGACTCTGGGCTGGCCAGTCCATTCGATGAACTCCATTGGCACCATACTAAGCCTTGGTTAACGTCGAAACATGACAGCTGGCATTGTCGTCCTAAAAGTAACAGGGGTCCAACCCGTAAAACTGCCACAACGTAGGAAGCCCATTGTCATCCAAAATAGTGCAGTAGGCATCAGAGTTGAGCTTACCATGAATGGGGACCAAGGCTCCCAGCCCATATCAGGAGAAACACCCCCAGACCATAATTCCACCTCCACCGAACTTGACTGTTGGCACAATGCATTCTGGCAGGAGACGTTCTCCAGGTAGACGCCAGACCCGACCTGCATCCGAACGGTAAAGGGTGAACCTTGATTCGTCACTCCAAAGAACCCGTTTCCACTGATCTACGGTCCAATTTCGATGTGCTTTACACCACATTAACCGAGCAGCGCAGTTGGATTTTGTGATCAAAGGCTTATGAGCAGCAGCACGACCATGAAAACCAAGCAGATGTGCTTCCTTACGGATAGTATTCATTGAAACAATACTCCCGGGTGCCTGTTGAAACTCCTCGCGGATGAGGGCCATCGATTGGGTGCGGTTCTTCCGAATTTCTGTGGACAGCACTCGTCAGTCTCTATCTCCCAGTTTCGTTGGTCTGCCGACTTGGGGCACATTCCGACATAGTGGAGTCGGTTTCGAACAGTTTGAATGGAAACTCTGGTACCAGTAGCCCTCTGAAAATGCTTTCGCAAGAAAGTGGCGTTCAAAGTGCGGCTTCTTTTGGCCATTAGTGGTGAATACCAATCCTCATTTTGTGCTGTTGCAGGCGTACAACCTTGTGCCGATCTTCGGCGAACATTTTCAGTTTCCAAAAGCCGATCCTGTCTGTAAATTATTATTTGGGAAACTCCTAACGCTTCCTCTACAACAGATTGCGTTTGACCTGCCTGTAAGCGATGGATAGCCCTCCAGGCTACCGATTCAGCTAAGTCACTTTGCTGAGACATTATATTCACTGTTACAAAATATTCAACATTTGTCAATTGTTTTTAATCTCCTGCTGCAGAAGAAAAGCTGCAGGTCGTTTTCCACCCCTTATCTGAAAAGCGTAGTTTCCGTCGTCACAGACAAAATTTGCACATTCCCAACATTGTAAACGTTATAATTTTCTTTTTTACCGTCTTTTATTTCATTTTTGTTAAAAAAAAAAAAGTTGCCGATCATATGGTTATTTCGTACCTTAATCACAAAATTGTTTTGAGCAGTGAAGCTAAATGAATGTCGTGACTCTGAAAGAGCTTAGAGCTCCGACCTGTCCTAAGCGTGTCCTCATAAAGTACTTTCTGTTAACTTTTCCATGATAACATAGCATTGACAGCTAGGTTATTGCGTGGTTTATATGTCATAAAGCCATACAAAGATAATGAAATTAATTAACCTTCAAATGATGTCGACGCGTATTACATTTTACCTAAATATTTCTGCTACTCACCTGGTAAATATATGTTCATAAAAATAAATATATGTTCATCATAATTTTCATCATCTTCATCATCTTCATATAATTGATCTTGAAATGAAATTACTGGTTATTTCTAGGAATAACAATTATCTGTGAAAAAATATACCAGTTACAGTTACGATTACTTTCTCAAGAACTGAAATCTCGTTTAAGGATCAGTTGGATCCTATAAAATGCTTCTCTTTCTTGTGAATTGCAACAAAATATTTGAAACATTCTAATAAGTATGGTGATTGCAGTGCCGACTGCTAAATCATTGGGTTTTTTTCGAATCCCAGAAGCTGCATGGATTTTGCCTTTGTGGTACGAGGCTCTTAAATGCTTGCTGTTGCGCTGAAAGCCTTTTCTGCAGTTTGGGACTTAAGAAAGAGGAGTAAGAGATCATTTTATCCATCTCCAAGGGAAAACGCAAACGGAGTTGTGCAGAAGCTATACTCTCGCTATAAGGAACCCAAAGTTTTGGCCAATGACAGGCCATGATGACGTCATCCTCTCGGCCATTATGAATTTGGGAACATAACCGAGATCCTTTCAGTTCAGAAGAATAAGTAACAACAACAACGCATCAAGTAAAAAACACGAAGTCGCAACAATAGCAATACATCAAGTAAAGACCAGGAAGATGAGTAAGAACAATAACAACACATCGAATAAAAGTCAGGAAGATAAGTTTATCAGGGTCAATGTTTCTTCTAACCTTCTTCGGAAACATACAATGACCTGACTAGAACAGAGAGCTTACTAAAGCTATGTTCACTAATTGTAGTAAGTAGACAGGATACAGACGAAGGGTATACAAAACCCTTTATTTTTCTTTATATACAATGACTTCCGTACTTCGGAATACAATGACCCTCCACTCGGGGTCTAACTTAAAAGATATCAAAAATAAAACTAAACTCTAATTTAACTTTAGAATAAGATTGGCCTTATAATAACAGAAAGCGTATGTAGCACAGAGACTGTGAAACACTACAATACGTTTAATTTATTCAAGAGGATTAAAACCTCTGGCCTGGAAGGCAAATAGCAACTGCGTAACTTCTAAGGTAAGCGGCCTGCTTCGAACTCACGGCTTCCTCTCTCTCTTGGCAAAAAGGCCACACTTAAATACTTGGCGTTCGCCAGACAACTTTGCATAAACTCCTTCACGCTTATAATTCTGGCCGGAAGTAGAAAATAAGAAGTGATAGTAAAGATTTAAAATAAAATAAACGTTAGTAAAACTTAAGATCCTTACATACTTCCCGCCAGAGTTAATTAGTTTGAAACTGAGGTCTAAAACGACTTGTTGAAAACTTTTAGCTCTAGAAACTAACGCGAGGCCAACCTTTTACAATCATAACTTAGCTAGAAACTAGAAATTTTAAAAGAAAGAAATTTGTTACAATAGCAGCTCCCAGGATATACAACAATCTTTTTTTTTTTCATCTGTACTGCATCTAAAAACCAGGAGCTTTATTCAATTCTGGTTCCTTCCAGAGATCTGGAAGGAAAAAACTAGTTTAATGAAATGTTACAGAATGACATTGCAAATAACATATACAATATACTTCTCTTAACATTCTTATTTCATTCATGACTATTTTAATTATCTCTCCCCGTGCTCTCTGACATGTGTTGTAAAAACACCAAACACGAATGTGTTTCTGTCTATGTGTTCAACACTTCCTCCTACAATCAAAACACTAACGTGTTAAAATTCAACATACGAGACCTCTTAACACACCCTACTTTCAACTCTAAACCCTGAGGTACTATTCTAAAAGTGGCTAACTCTAAAGTGTAGCGTCAGAGAGCCTAACTACATCATTCAACCTTTAACACATATGTCATGATTTAATCTTTACAGTCACACGAATAACAAAATTTTTTAACATTACTTTCACTTTTACCATATCACGGTATTTCTTAACATTTAAAATAACAGTTCACATGTATATAAGAACATATCAACATGCCGTTAATTTTACACATTTGAAAACATAAATTAGTAATTCATTGTTAACTTCTATTCTTTTCAAAGCAAGTGC